CAATCGATTGAACTTAAACCTCAGATTTGGGAGCGTAGTTTTCGAGAAAATGCTAAAAGTTTCAAAAATCGAAAAATTGACTATTTTGAGGGCCATATACTTTTGTGTAAAATTTTTTTTTGCGGAGCCGCTGATGCAGAGGAGCTTAACACAACCTGTTCTATCCATCAAAGTCAAAATCTTCCTAGATTTGGCAAAGTAGTTTTCGAGAAAACGTATAAAATCGAAAAACTGGGTTCAAAAATCCCCCACACAAACTTTTTCGAAGCTTTTAGAAATTGGGATAAGGTTAAAAGAGACGAGGGGAGTATGCAGGCACACAGGAGAGGGTCTTTAATTTCCATTGGTACAACTCTTTTTAAAATCGGTAGAGTACTTTTGAGAAAAACGAAAATTTTCCAAAGCGTCTAAAAAACCTGTTTGATAAATTTTGAAAATTTTGTATTGATGCCGAAGGACAAGCTTAATTTCAAAAACAGACCTATAGCAAAAAAAAGAATCCCAATTTAATGATTTCAAAATCTGTTTATTTCATCCATTACTTCAGTTTTCCTAAAAACTGAAGTGATTTTAAGAGCTTGCTAGGTAGAAAGATGCTTAAACATTGCTCATTATATTTGGGTGGGTAGTTTTCGAGAGAAGTCAAGAAGTTTCAGAAACAACAAAAAAACAAACTTTTACGAGGGTCATAACTTTTTGTGTAAAAAAACTTGGGCGTAACCGCTTCTTCAGGAGCACTTCACACAAACCGTTCTACCTATTGAAACCAAAATCTCAGATTCGGGATGGTACTTTTCGAGAAAAGTCAAAAAGTTTGAAAAAACGGTCAACAAATGGAAAATTTGACTTTCCGGAGGGTCATAATTTTTTGTGTAAAAAAATGTAGGCGTAAACGCTAATGCAGGGAGCTCTCTACAAATCGTCCAATCGATTGAACCTAAATCTCAGATTCGGGATCGTACTTTTCGAGAAAAGTCAAGAAGTTTGAAAACACGGTCAACAAATGGAAAATTTGACTTTTCGGAGGGTCATAACATTTTGCGTGAAAAAAAATTAGGCTTAACCGCTAATGCAGGGGAGCTCTCTACAAAACTTCCAATAGATTGAACTTAAACCTCAGATTTGGGAGCGTAGTTTTCGAGAAAATGCTAAAAGTTTCAAAAATCGAAAAATTGACTATTTTGAGGGCCATATACTTTTGTGTAAAATTTTTTTTTGCGGAGCCGCTGATGCAGAAGAGCTTAACACAACCTGTTCTATCCATCAAAGTCAAAATCTTCCTAGATTTGGCAAAGTAGTTTTCGAGAAAACGTATAAAATCGAAAAACTGGGTTCAAAAATCCCCCACACACACTTTTTCGAAGCTTTTAGAAATTGGGATAAGGTTAAAAGAGACTAGGGGAGTATGCAGGCACACAGGAGAGGGTCTTTAATTTCCATTGGTACAACTCTTTTTAAAATCGGTAGAGTACTTTTGAGAAAAAACGAAAATTTTCCAAAGCGTCTAAAAAACCTGTTTGACAAATTTTGAAAATTTTGTATTGATGCCGAAGGACAAGCGTAATTTCAAAAACAGACCTATAGCAAAAGAAGGAATCCCAATTTAATGATTTCAAAATCTGTTTATTTCATCGATTACTTCAGTTTTCCTAAAAACTGAAGTGATTTTAAGAGCTTGCTAGGTAGAAAGATGCTTAAACATTGCTCATTATATTTGGGTGGGTAGTTTTCGAGAGAAGTCAAGAATTTTCAGAAACAACAAAAAAACAAACTTATACGAGGGTCATAACTTTTTTTGTAAAAAAAACTTGGGCGTAACCGGTTCTTCAGGAGCACTTCACACAAACCGTTCTACCTATTGAAACCAAAATCTCAGATTCGGGATGGTACTTTTCGAGAAAAGTCAAAAAGTTTGAAAAAACGGTCAACAAATAGAAATTTGACTTTTGTATTTGGATTGAATTTTGTATTTGGATTGAACCTAAATCTCAGATTTCGGAGGGTACTTTTCGAGAAAAAGCTATAAGTTTCAAAAATGGTCAAAAATCTTAAAATTGACTATTTTGAGGGCCATATGTTTTTGTGTAAAAATACTTTGCGCGGAGCCGCTTATGCAGGCGAGCTTACCACAGCCTATTCTATCCATCAAAGCCAAAATCTTAGATTTGGTTAGGTAGTTTTCGAGAAAACGTAAAAATCCATAAACTGGGTTCAAAAATCCCCCAAACACACTTTTTCGAAGCCTTTAGAAATTGGGGTAAGGTTAAAAGAGACTAGGGGAGTATGCAGGCACACAGGAGAGCGGCCGTAATTCCCATTGGTAAAATCTTTTGAAAATCTGTTGAGTACTTTTTGAGGAAAACGAAAACTTTCCAAAGCGTCTATAAAACAGAAAAACAAGATCCCATACATTTTCATAATACCTGTTTTTATCAAACAGGAATTTGTAACATAATAGTTTGTGTTAATATCCTTAGCATTGGTTGTACTTATTAGCTGGTTGCTGATCATAATGAACACTTTCAAAATGAACAAATTTTGTCGCAACAATATTTGCGTCGCAACAATATTTGCGACTTAGGTTGGACCAAAAAAGAGAGTTAATACTATAACACAAGCTTTGCTTGTGTAAAAAAATTTAAAAACTAGCCTTGAAGCACGAATCTCTGACTGATTTTTGCTGGAGGAAACATAGCCAACAGACATTTTGACAGACTGTTTTAAAAAGAATCGAATTTCGCGAAGAAAAAAATTACATCACCTTCAAGCTTTCAAAAGTTCAAAAAAATGATTGGCAATATGAAAGCTGCTATCAACTGGTACGTAACTAAAAAAAGCAAAAATAAAAATCCACATTTGTAACTAGACATTTTAAGAAAACTTGACCATTAGGTAACTTTTATCCACTGGAAAACTACTACAGAGACTAGGCTGCAATTAGCACACAAAAGCGACAAAACAGCTTGAAAGTTGCAAGAAAAAGCTGAAATAAAAAATACCGCTCACCGGATTCGCAATTACCGCATACAGCCTTCGAGTCTAATGTCTGGACCATTAATCCATGTACCCTTACTATTCTCCAAAAAGCGGATAGCCAATGCGCATAAAAAACATGAGCAGTACACAGATCCTCAATTGAAAAACAAAAAAAAAGCTAATTGACAGTTGGAAAAAAGTAAGGAATGTAGGAAACAGAAAAAAAAACTTGTTGTTTGAAAAAACTTTTGAAAAAATAAATGACCTTAAAGCTCTTTGAATTCTCAGAACAATTTGTAATTGGTACTCTTTTTGGTTAAAAACACCTATTTGAGAAAACTGGGTAAATGGGTAAACTTTTAACTCTGGGAAATCTGAACATTAAAATGCACTATCGAAACTAGAAGTCCGTCACGTTTTTCGTGACCATTACTCGTTTGCTGTTCGATAAAGAGATTTGCCTTCTTTTTAACCATGAAAACGAAATAAACTTAAAAAGAACCAAATGTCTTTTCCAGAAAAACGAAAAAAAATCACCAAGACCTATATCAGAGTCAATTTCTGCTGAGCCCTAATTTAAAAGTTACAAGGTACGCAAAATTAAAAATTTATTCAATCGCTTAATTTATTTTCTTTTCACCCAAGAAAAATGAAGTAAGTTTCATACAAAGAGACGAAACGGAGCTTCGCACCTGTTGCGATGCAACAAAAACAAGTCGAAAAAAAAACTTTATGAAAAAAAACTGTCTACCGAAATCCCAGAAATTTGAGTATAAAATTAGCAGCGGAACAAAACTAACCAAGAGGCAACAAAATCGACAATCTTTGAGCAGACACAAGTTGATCCAAAAAAAATATGATTATACAAAAAAATCTTTTTGCTTTAAGTCCCACTTGAAACTACAATGAAAAACACTTGCACTTGCAACTACAATCAAAGTTGCTTACAGCTCAAAAAAGTCAGTAATGTAGCAAATAAGCCGACAGACTTTAAGCATACACCAGTCTTTAAGCACAAACCAGATCCCCTTGATGCTAGAATGAACAACGCTAGTACTAGCAATTAAAGTTGCTTACAGCACAAGTTAAATCGTTCAAGTGGCAACTTCGCTGAAAAAACTTGAGCCGACAAGAAAGTCCGAAAACTCAATAATTACAGAAAACTTTTTCAATGGCATACAAACTAAACAGTACGGTCGAGACACAAACCCCAGGATGCAAAGACGTCGGCGTTATTCCAAACATGAAAGATGTTAGGGTTCAATATCAAGGAAAAATTAAGACAAAGAAGTTGAGCCGAAAAAAAACTGTTGTCATACAGCTGTAAAATTTTAAAAGTTTTAATGAAACACAGCAAAAAATAAAAATCAGTTTTACGTTCGAAACTACGCAACATAAATTGACTAAGCTGATATAATATAAGCCGAAACCGTTTATCGAAAAACAAACGAAAAAACATAAATTACAAAACGTTCACTCGCAGCTAAAACTGTTCAAATCAATAAAAATCCTATGCTTCGGAAAGTAAGTCCACAAAACCGCACTAGATTGAAAAATGCATTTAAAAATGGAAAATGAGCCAAAAGAAACTGGGACGAATACCACGAATACAAAAAAAAACATCTTTTTTCAAGAATTTTCAAGAAGCTATTACCTGAAACGAAGTTCCCCTAATTTCTATCAATTGATGGTAGTTATTTTCAAATTTTCAAAAAGTTGAGCATGTCAGCAGTCTGCATGTGAGCAGTCTTGATATTACCGTTCGTACTAAAATAGACCATTCTGTGAAAAAAGTTATTTACGGGAAAAAGTCTAGTACCCGGTTGCAAAACCATTGCTTATCGCAAGGGTAAAGAACATGAAATCCAAACCCATACCAATTTGGGCAGAAGCAACTTTTGAGACTTTTTCCTGAAAGAGAAAAAGAATACCTAACAAATGACTACATTCACTGCTATTCAAAAATTTCATTGTACTGAGTTTGATACCTGTTTTTTATGCTAATATTCAGTACTGCAACTTACCCGGCCCAAAATGTTTGATCGAGTTTGAGGCTACCAAAGATGATCGTGCAATCGTCTCCACTAAGTATATCTTCGTAGTCAATTTTGTACTTTTCCTTTTTGCAGTCTTTAACATCTATTATATCGGGTATCTCTGGGATAATGCAACCTGAAAAATGATCAATTCCATGTAATCAGTTTATACTTTTTGGCCGCTAGTAACTCAGTAAACGAAAAATTTTTGAAGCCCGATTACCAGCTCTATAAAACATAGCCAACAGACATTTGGAAAAAAGTGCATGAACGCAAGTAAACAAAAAAGACTCGAACACATCGAACTTTAAAGGAAAAAAAGATGCCCTTAAAGCTCTTTGAATTTCTAGAACAAGTTATGACTCACAGGTTTTTGATTGAATTAACCCAATTTGAGAAAAATTGAATCAATAGGAAAACTTTTGATTCTGCTGGGAAATCAGAAATTTAATTCCACTTTCGAAACTAGAAGTCAATCACATTTTTCGCGACCTTCATATTTTTGCAGTTCGATAGTGGAGTTTACCTTCCTTTTAAGAAACTGGACTTAAAAATAAATCGTTAGTCAAACTGCGAAAAATTACATTTGAGACTAGACAATCTGCTCTGAATCATTATATGTTGCTTACCATACCTGGATAACCTAGAAACGTTTCACGTATCAATAAAAACTCGTATTTTTAATTAGCATGCATCAATACCGGATCCTTTTCTATTGCAACTAGCCACTGCTTTTGGGCAGAGGACACGACAAGTTTATCTAGAGAATATTTTATGACAGAAGGATCGAAGGACATAGTTAGTTATGTTGGCCAATCAAAAATCAGTACTTCAAAATTGAATGAAATTACGCCGTTTCACTTAGGTTTGACAAGTAAAAAGCATGAGGTTGGATTTTTTCTTCCTTTCACTTTATCTGTTATGACAACAGTCCTCAAGTTCACCTTTGGCGCAGAGTCCGTCACATTTGACACATCTGTTTCCCTCCACCCTCTTGTCTGGACTACACTTGGCCACACACACCTTGCGGAAGTCATCCAGATCATCAATGTACGTCCCATCTACAATATGAGCAATTGAAAAGCGATGAATTTCGAGATCAACCATGAAAAGTTATAGCTGAGCAAGACCTTCATTACGGAAGGACCAAATGTCCGACAATTATGTTGTCAATCAGAATTTAGTGATATTTGATCGTTTGATGGACGTTGATTGAAAACTTTCGCGGATTCAACCCTTGTCATGACAATACCCAACTGTTATTTAGTTGAGCCTTCTATAAATAAGCCCCGGTTCAGACCACTGGAATCTTTATTTAAAGTTCTAGTAAATAGTAAAAAAAAAATGCCGACACAGTTAAAAAAAAAACAGCTAAAGAAAAAATGCCCAAGCCAATAACTGTCTGCGCAAAGACCAACAGTTAAACCAAATGGAGCAAACACAAACTCACGAACTCCAGGAAACCAAACAAAACTACTGGTAGCGAAGACACTTATTGACACACCTTGTCATTATTTTTAATTTCAGCAAGGTGCGCGGACTGACTGTATTTTCAAAACTCAGAGAAAAAATATTTAAGGAGAAAGTTTTTTGATTGACACTTCGATTTCATGATCAGAACTTTTGCCATATAACTAACCTAATAACAGAAAACTGGTGGATCGACAGGTAATTCAATGAAAATTCTGAAAATTAAAATTCTTTTTCGAAACTTAAAGTCATTCACATTTTTCGATCAATTTGCACTTTCGTTATTGGAAAGCCTAATTTGCCATCTGAAAACTGTAACAAAAAACGAGTAGCCATAAATAAGTAATAAATCCCTGCTTAGATTAACAGTTAGAATTTAAATTCGATTAATTTGGCAAGTTTAACACTTCATTTATTTAGAGAAATTGTGATTATATGTTCTGTGTACTTGCCAGTCGCGAAAACGTTAGTGTAGAGTTATGGCCGCTTAGCATTCAGGAATAAGGCAATTAGAATTGAGCAACTAAAACCAAAAGGTAAGACCGGCTACGGCGAAAAGAATGACATTTCTCTCCTCCACGGAAGAAAGGCCAAAGGTAGAACAGTGAAAGTGGGGCCGTCGCCTATTTTTTTAAATGAACTAAAACTCAAAATATGCAACTGAAACTCAAATTGATGGTTGCCACATCAAACTTGGTAATTAATTTAATTACGCATGATAAGCGGGACGCATGCAATTCGCTACGCCCACGTAGAGCTTGTGTGACACGAAAAATCAATAGATTCAGATTAATTTGCCGTGCTCAACTCGAGCCTACGCGTTGAGCATGAAATATAAGCGCAGAAAAGCATGCCCAATTTAGTGTATTGACATATTTGCCAACTTTCAAACCTCCAAAAATACGAAAAATGATCGCAGGCTAGGTCTATTTTTTTTACATAATGAACTCAGGGCGTCGATATCTTTGAAGGGTTATAAAAAGTCTCCCTTAACTTTCGCCCTCAGCTTCGCACTTAAATTTGAAGTTGCGATAAGTGGACTGCCTGTATAACATTACGCTCTCAAGCTCGCTTATGTAAATCTCCATGGCGGACTGTCCGTATAAAATTACGCGCTCAAGCTATCTTGAGTAAATATCTGTTTCCATGCAAGTTATTCATTAAACTTTTGTGATATCACAGTTGAAGCATATTTTAGGGCATCCAAAACTTCTAGAAAATTTCATTCATAGATTTGCTTTCACGGATCGGCAACACAAGAGTTTAACCCAGCTTACATGCAACGAGCAAACGCTTGACCTGAAAATTTTCATTGTGTCCGGGAAATAGTTTCATACCCACCTGGGCATTGTTCGACGCACTCGTAATGGTATGCATACATCTGTTTTTCATCATCCCGGCTGGTCTCGTAATAGCGCTGATCGTAGCTAACTTCCGAGCACATTGTCTTGCACTCGTTGCCCGCCTGTAGCACCCGACACGCCTGAAACAAAATGACATTCTCGTATTGACAGAGGTGAAGCGGAGCTACGAATCTCTTGCAATACAAAAATACATTCCACTCGCGATACTTATTTTTGGAACTCAATTAGCTGCACCATTACAGGAATACAAAAAAAATTCAATTAATTCCAACATTGTAAAATCACAAAAAATTCCGTGCGGTGGCAATTGAGCCAACAAAAAAGCAAGCAGACACACGATAAGCCTATTATTCCTTTCCCGGCGGATTACTTTGCCGAAAAAACTCAGCCACCAGAGATGGAAAAATTTCAAAGAGCAATTTTTGAAAAACTACGTTTCTAATTACGATGAAAAAAACATCACAACACTGAGACAAAGCGAAGCTTTGCACCACTTGCGATAAAACAAAAAGCATAAGTCGAAAAGAAAACGAAAAAAGGTTAAAAAAACAAGGTGAACCCAAATTTTCGCATGTCTCGATGCAGGACAACAAGGGTACAGCAGAAGCTGGAGGTACGTGTTTGATATTTTTGAATTTGTTATACTGATGCGGGACGAAAGGCGTAATTTGAAAAATTGGAATTTGCCCAAAACCTTGGTTGTTTCTCTACTAAAGTAAGTGAGAAGTGAAAAATTTTTCTCTAATAAAATAAGGAAGAGTGAAAACTTTTGAGATTTTGGAAAATTCTCTCAGCTATCACCTTTCTCTTACAAAATAATTAAGGAGTAGCCGCTTCTGAAAGGAAAAATCGCGCTATCGCTTCTTTCGATTGCAATTTTCATCTCAGATTTGATAGGGTAGTTTTTAAGAAAATTTAAAAAGATTAACTGAAATTCAGCCATTAAAAAATATTGACTTTCCGAATTCCGTAACGTTTCTCTGCTAAAAGCAAGTCATGGCCATAAAATAAGAGAAGAGTCTCACAATTGGGTTTCTTGATTGAACAATTAACCTGAGAATTGGCGCTGTAATTTTCCAGTAGAGTAAAAAAGTTTCCAAAAAAACGTAAGTTTCACTACTGCTTTGAAGGACAACATTTTACTAAAAAAGAAGTAGATACAAAAGTAAGATTCCAATAGGATGCTGTGCCAATTAAACCTATGATATCTTAGTCTAATTTGGCAGTTCAGTCTAAAAACCGAGGTTTGGCAGGGTAGTTCAGAAGTCAAGTTTCAAAAACTTGTCAAAAAATCAAATTTTGACCTTTCCGAGTGCCATAAATATTTGTTTAAAAAAGTTGAGCAAAGTCGCGTATGCAAGTTAGCTTTCCACAACCCTTTCTTTGGATTGAACCCAGAGTCTCAATATGGGAAGCTAATTTTCGGTAAAATTTTTGGTAAAAATTAGAAAAAAGGCTTAAGAAATTGACGTTTCCGAGGACGATAACTTTTTGTGTAGAAACATTTTGAGTGACCGCTAATATAACGGAGCTTACTATCACCCGTTATCTCCATTGAACCCTCAACCTCAGTTTTGAGAACTTTGTTTTCAAAAAAATTTAAGAATCAAAAAACGCGTAAAAAAAATCAAAAATTTGAGTATTCCGAAGGCCACAATTTTATGTGTAATGAAAATTGGGCGTAGCTGCTCACAAAGGGGAGCTTTTCATACCCATTCTATTCATTGAGTCTCAGATTTTCTAGCTTAAATTTGGAGAACATGAAAAAAATCAAAAATATCGGTCAAATATTCCCTCCACAGACTTTTTTGAAGGCTGCAGAGAAAGGGGTAAAGCAAGAGACCAGAGGAGTATGCAGGCACAGAAGAATGTAGGCCGTCTTATATTAATGACTATTTCAATATATAAAATCGGTAGAAGGGTTTTTGAGGAAAAAAACTAAATTTTCTGCAAAAACTGATAAAATTTTCCAAAGCGTCTAGAAAAAAAATGAAAAAACTAAAAAACAATAAAAAATAAAACAAAATCCCATTAATTTTCATGATACCTGTTTTAATCATGAATGATTCAACTGATTGTGTTAAACTAGTTTTTAACCATCCACGTTCCGATTTGATGACGTTTACTGATCTCAAGCGTAACAGCTGTTTGAATTCCAGGAAGCTTCCCAGTGGCACTGTTTTATTATTAAACTAACCCGATTAGAAAAAACTGTGTCAATGGGTAATTTATTCTAATTCAGCAGGAAAATTCACATTCGAAACGAAAAGCTATTCCCGTTTTTTTTCCAGTAAAATACCTTTCTTTAGCCAAATGAAATTTAAGTGAAAAAACAGAGACCTACCGGAATTTCGCACTGCTTCCGATACACCGCAAGCTAGCCGAATAAAAATACTAGTCGGAAAATTTTTTCGGAAAAGAAAATGAAAACTAAGTCTACTTAATTTTTACTCAAAGGCCAAGCTACACTTCGCAAACACTATCGAGAACATGAAAAAGAGCATCTCTATAAAGTGCAATAAGAAAAAATGATCTTCGAATTAGTAAAAATTCGGCTACGTCTCGGATTCGATCTGAGACCTAGAGATTATGAGTCTCACGCACTAACCACACAGCTACAGACGCTTAACACATCATAAACACTAGCCACAAATAAATCAGAGAGCAGATCCTATGAAACTTCCAATGGTAAATATCGCGATTATAGCAAATAGTGAACACTTTTAATGAACATTTATTTGCGAGTTAGGTAAAAAAAAAAAGAAGGTTCGTACAATCGCAAGCTCGCCAGTGACAATACGTAGGTCAAGGAAGCAAAATTTTGAATCAGTAACTAAGCCAACAAAACTTGGTTTACTCTCTATGAGCCGAAAAATAATTCGTCGTAAAACATTCCAGCAACAAAAAAAATGGAAGTTTTTAAGTTTCCCATACTCTCATGCACTCACATGAATCAGAAATCAACAGAAACATTTCATTCAATGAAACAACAGAACCCGACTGGAATCGAACTCTCCGATTCGGTCGTCTCAAGCAAGGGTGTTAGCACTGCGCTGAGTATGCAGAATTCTCTTCAACTTATACTGAACCAAGTAATACACCTAACATTTTCGCGAGCGAATTCTGTGACCAAAGCTGTTTACAGGGGAAAAGATTCTTGTACCTGGTTGCAAAACCCTTGCTTATTGAAAGAGTAATCAATCAAATAATTAGGAAAAGAGTAGCCGGGTGCTACGCAAATACGACAGCATGTTACCACCAAAATTATAACATCAAAAATTGAAGAAAAAAGTTAGTACTCCCAAAAAAAAGTTTGGGGAGCGGCGGTGAAGTGATTACGTCTCCGCCCCTCAATCGAAAGGTCGGATGTTCGAGGCGCACCATAATCCCTGCTCGTTGCTTGAGGGTGAGGCAACATTACGCAGCCCAGAAAAATAACCAAAAAAACTCAGTTCTTAAGCAGGGGCACAACAGCGTTTCGCCGTGATGAGCTGTACAGCTCGTATGTTTGTCCTTTCCCTCGTGAATAAATGGCCTTAAATGGTCTTGTATTTTTTCATTTCTTGGTATCTTGATGATATAGCTAATATTAGCTTGAATAACGCTAGAGGAAAAATATAATGAGATGAACTTTCTTAACCGTGGGTGACTTCTTCTAATGATTAAATACCTTTTTGGAATCCGAATCACGACCATTTACGCTTTTGCTGTTCGATAGTGCAGTTTGCTTTCTTTAACACAAGAAATAAATTGAACTTGAAAAAAAATCAAATATCAAACCGCAAAAATCAAATTTGAGCGTGAGCATATTTTAAGGTTTTGCTGAGAAAAAAACCATCACGGCCTTTATGAGAGCCTCCACTGCGTTCATCGTATCTTTAGAACGCCATCTGTGGCATTGATTTTCCAAATTTTCTCACGTGGCATTCTGATCTGAAGTCTCCCCAACAGCCGCCAGCACAGTCCTCGTCACAGCACTCCGAGTCCCCGGGACCAAAACACCTCGTACTCTCCAGGCCCCTTCTCGTGCACTTGCTACTGCACACTAATCGGGTCACTAAACCAAAAACAGTTGCCCATTCATCAGGGGAGGACTGAGGCTGACATTTTTAACAATCTAACATATTTTAATTCCCGCACGCATACCATCGGAACCTTTTCATTTCATACCTTGTGCCGCAGTCTAATTTAAATGAAGCACAGCGGAGCAAACAATATATAAAAAAATTCAGAGCATTATAATCACCATAGCCATTATCATCGACAGTATCACCATTGTCGACATCATTATAATTCGAATTTGGTTCTACTGAGGCTCTTATTAACACCACACCACGTATTGTTAAGAGCTCAGCTCTATTTCTTATTGTTTCGAGGTGAATGTTGATAACTATAGAGCTTAGGACTATTTTGAATGTTAAGACTGAAGAGTACATACGATTCTGACAGTCCTCCTTCTTGGGTCCCCAGCAGTGTCCATACTTGCACACTGGCTCCATCACAGCCCCTTCTCCGCCTTCAGAGCGCACATACACAGTCGTGTTAATGGGAGGAATCATAGTGGTTACGTTTCCCGATTGATATAGCGTAGTGGATGGAGTTATAGTAGTTGTTACTCTTGACACTTCTTCGGCACCACAGATTAAGTACCCCGATTCTGTCAAAAAAGCATTAGTTTCGATCATCATGAAAACTTAAATTTGATTCCCAATTAAAATCAATGGATGTTTAAAAAAGACTAATTGAGTTAATATATTCAAACTCAGAGTTAGAGAATTAAACATAGACAACTGACAGTTGGAAAAGAGTAATGAACGCAAGGAAACTGAAAAAACCGACTTGTTTTTTCCAAAAACTTCAACTTTTCAATTTCGAAGAAAAAAATACATGGCCTTAGAGCTCTTTGAGTTTGTAGAACAGCTTATGATGGACACTTTTTTGTTTAAATTAACCCAATTAGAGAAAACTGGATCAATATGTAAAACTTTTATTTCGCTGGGAAATCTGATAATTAATTTCCATTTTCGAAATTAGAAGTCGATCACTTTTTTCGTGACCTTTACAATTTGGCTGTTCGATAATGGAGTTTGCCTTCCTTTTAACAATAGAAATGCACTGAACTTAGTAAGAAATCACAAGTCAAACCTCGAAAAATCAAAATTGAGGGTGAACAAATTTTAAGACTTTTTCCTGAAAAAAAAAACCAGCAAGACCTATATAAGAGTACTCACTACGTTCACTACTCTTAATAAAAGTTTTTGAAATATATAACAAAAGCAGAATACAGAAAACTTTATAAAATAGGTGACAACTCTTTCAAAAAAAGGCAAAAAAGTGCCGTATAAATTACAGCCAAAAAATCAAGCAAACAGTGTCAAATGGGCCTATGTAACTTTGACATAAAGGGCGAATCAGAGCAAAGCTTTAAACTACCAGTGATACAATACAAACATAGCAATGTAAGCTAGTGGACAGAAAATGAGACCATAGCCGCTTACTTGCATTTTTACACAGAGGTGAACCGAAGTCAAGGTTAGTTAAAATACAACTTGCAGGAGCAAATCAATACACTAAAAGAAACTACAATGAAAGTTGCACACATCATAAGAACCCTGTACATTTGCCGTCAGGGGCGTATTCATTACATCTAGGTAAAGTTTGCCGGATGCGCTAAGAAAATTGACCTCATTATTAACCAAGGTACCACAGCCATATGAGTCCTGTGAACAAAGTTGTTAAAGGGCAAAAAGTCTAGTACCCGCTTGCAAAACCCTTGCTAGCCGCAAAACTAGGAATATCTAAAAAAACTAGATCTTCCAAAATCTTCAAATTCAAATAATTTTATAAAAATGTCTTGAATAAACTTCATTTTAAAAAAAACTAGATAAATACATTGAAAGCTAAATTAGCATCGGAACAAAAGTTACGAATCAGTACTCAAGTCAGCAACACTTGAGAGGACACTCTCTGAGCCGAATTAAAAATTAGTTTCATTAAAAAAACTCAAGTAAAAAAAATCTCAAAGCAAAAGTATAACGATGACAGATAGATCTAACAAAAAAATATCTGTTGGTTGACAACGGTACAGATTCGAGAAAATGATCCAGTGATCATCTGGGTCAAGTTATTTACATGGAACAAATTTATATTCCGATTTAATAACTTTTCCTAATCGCAAGAGTATTAAGCATACAGAAAAATCAACCCAGCTGAAACTAAGCCAAAACTCAGGTTAAAGACATGAGGCATCAAAATAAATTTTGCGTCTCAAGCGAAGCAATATAGGACAACTAATGTAGACCAAAACCTCTCAAGCCAACTAAACCTCTCAAGCCAACTAAACCTTTTCAGCGAAAAAAAAAACAATAAAAATTTATGCAATATCAAGTGGTAAACTGACAAATTCAAGGACTATATCAATGAAGGACTATAGATCTTTGAGCAATCAAGTCAAAGAATAAACCGCAAATTAAGTTTCCCAGAAAAGAGTAATAAACGCAAGTAAACATGAAAAAACACTGACTTTGTTGAAAAAAAAATCTCAACTTTGGAATTTAAAAAAAACATGCCCAATAAGCTCTATGAATTTCTAGAACGATTTATGATTGACGCTGTTTTATATAACACTAGCCTAACATGAGATCAACAGAGAAAGTTTTCATTCCGATGAAAATCTACAAACTAAATTCCACTTTCGAAACTAGAAATCGTTCACTTTTTTCGCGCCATTTCCACGTTTGTATTTGGAGAGTGCTACTTACGTCACTTTAAGCAATTGAATTTCAATTGAACTCAAAAACTGCATATATACTTAAGTGCATTCATAAAAGCATCAATACGTATGAATGCATATCTGTAGTTATTTGAGGATTTTAAAGACTTTTCCTGAAAAAAATCACCAAGACCTATGTAAGAGTTTTCACATTCTCCATTACTCATAGTATCGTAGAAGTTGGCTCCTGGCCGAAGTCAAACCCAGGATATTATCTTCTCAAAAATGGACGTTACGTTCACGCTATATGAGAAAATAATTTTAACACAGAGGCGAAGCTGCGCTTCACAAACACAAGCGAGGAAAAATGCAACGAGGAAAAGATCAACAGAGATCCCAAAGATTAGTTCTTCAGTTTAAACGTTTATCTCAGATTTATGCATTTATTATTTGAGATAATGAACAAATTCAAAATCAAATAAGTCAAAAATCCCCCTATTTGAACTTTCGAAAGCCGTAGAACGTGGTGTAAACTGAAAAGAGACTACCAAAATATGCAGGCACATAGAATAGCAGCCAGTTTTTACAATGACACCATTCTTTTGAAAATTGGTTCAGTCGTTTTTGAAAAATGAACTTTTTGCGAAAAGTTCAAAAATTTTCCAAAGGGCCGCAAAAAAAACAGAAATTAACAAATCCCGTACATTTCGATGACAATATACAGCGATGAAAAAAGTATATCACGTTAAAGCTCTTAAATTTCAAGCAAAATTTATGTTTGACATTTTTGACGAATAAACAAAACTTTGGAAAACTAAATCACTGGGTAAATTTTTTATTTCGCTGGGACATCTAGAAATTAAAATCCACTTTCGAAACTGGGAGTCGTTCACATTTTTTTAGCCAGTTTGCATTTGTAAACAGAACGAATTTTTTTTTTAACTTTTAGCAGATGAACTTGAATTGATCATAAAAATTGCATCTTACTGCATAGCATTATATCTTTGTATCTGGTTATTGGTGACTTTTACTGCATAGCATTATATATTCGCATCTGGCTTATTGGTGACTAACGTTTCTGATTGTAAAGCGACCACAGCGCAGATGCTAAATTGTGTGACTGTCAATTTCGAGGTCGGGAATCAATTCCGGTAGAGAGCAGTATATATCTATCAGTCAACGTTTTCTTCCCTTTTTTAAGCGGAAAAGAACGTATATTATTTTCACTTACCGGTTGTCAATAGCTGTTAACAACTACGACTTATGACTTTGATAGTTTGTTAGTTTTTTTTTTGCAGGAAAAAGTCTTTAAATGGTCTAAGAACTACATAAGGGCATTTATGAATTCACGTAGCTTTAGTGCATTCATAAATGCACTTCTGTACATATGCATTCTAAGACTTTTTACTCAAAAAAACTAAAAACGTCTTAAGACCTATATACGTGAAAATAATTTCGTTCTATTACACTTAAGGAAAAAAGGTTTTAACTGATAAATATACTGCTCTATAACGGAAAGGATCCCCCTACCACAAGTTTAAGAGTCACACATCCTATAATCTACGTTATAATCGCTTTACAATCGCAAACACTAGTCGCCAATAAACCAGATACAAAGATATAATGCTATGCAGCAAATGTAAATAGATAAAATGCTATTGCTGCAAAAGTGCCAGCAAAAAAATGAGTATTTCAAATTACGACTTGGGTTGGAAAATGAACTTTGTAATATGACACTATGCCCATTAACTCGCTTTTTTTTTAAATTGTTGAATCAGAAAATTCGTCTCCTATATCTAACGTGGACCGAACAAGACCTCGTTTGTTTGTTGCAAGACTTTTAAATAGCCGAGGAAGTTGATTTAAGACCTGCGAAAATTGGCTAACAGATTCTGATGCTCATGAATGGTCCAAAAAATCCACCCAAAGCATTTCTAATCCTATCTTTCTTCGAGGCTCGGAAGAAAATCAAGTATTTGCAGGAAACTGACTCTACAAACCTTAAGCAAATGAAGAGAACAATAATAAGCAGCATGTGAATACCAAAAAAATCTCCAATCTTCTTGGGTTCACTTTTGAATACAGAGGCGAAGCGGAGGCAAAAAAAGGCTAAATGCAATAAAATCTAATTTTTCAATACTGCTACGGATCAAAAAAAAAATCTATAAGACTTTGGAATCAGGAAAGCTCCTTTGACAAATTCAAAACATAAGTGATCGAAATATTTGAAAAATAGCGGAATTTAATTGAAAATTGTGTTATCAGATAAGGATCCATTCGTTGATTTCTTGTGATTAAAAAAATAAGACCAATTCTTAAATAATAGGAAAAGAAATTTCTTTAAACAAAATTGGGGGGAAATTTTGGAGCTCAATAGCCCGCACCATTACAGAAATAGTCAGAATGACTAAAGCGTTTGTAAAAATTGCTTTATATCAGTAGAATAGTTTACGCTGTCAAAGCTTAGCCAAGAACCAAATAAGCAGACAAACGATAGGTCGATAACTAAAATTTTCCGAGCTGAAAATTATCAATTTCCAAAAAATAATGCTACTGGCGGACTGCAACCCAGCTTTTGTTGTTCCAAATAAGTGCGTTACCTAGACTCTAAGCAGGCAGAAGTAATATCAATAAATTAATATGCTAATTAAGTTAACTGATATGAATTCTGTGAACAAAGAGTTTAACGGCAAGTCTATTCCCTGGTTGCAATACCCTTGCTCATAGCAAAAGTATAACACAGAGGCGAAGCTGCGCTTCGCAAAACTAGCGAAAAAAAAGCCGTAGCGGTGCCTCAAAACTGGCACCAATATTTGCGACTTAGGCTAGAAAAAAGAATAGTCGTAGTATAACACTAACGCTCTCTAAAGTTAGCTAGTGTAAAGACTGAATACTCAAAACACAGCAAAAGTATAAACACAAAAAGTGACAAAAGGATCAAGCTTTTACGTTGCTTACAGCAGCGATTCTTGGTAATGGGTTACAACTTAATCATAATTCCGCAGGGTCCATTGCTACTTCCAATTTCCAGAAATTTCACCCCGAGAGCAAATTGTGGCACAGTTTATTACCGTTCCTCTATAAACCGAATTTTGCCTTAAATTATTCCCGGAAACCAAATTAATGATACGGTTGAATATCATTACTTTATATATGATCCTAGCTTCTCAAAAGCTAGTGATCAAACTTCCGGTACGGTAAATTTTGACGGTTTTATGAATAGATGAATTTCCAGGAACTCGTTGCATGAAAGAGATCATCTATCTGATACATTTGAAAACGATAGCTTCAAAAATTGGAACGCAATATTTCGCTCCAAACGGGTTTTGAAATTGGATTTGAAATGATGCAATTTTTCTTTTTTTACTTTTTCACTGACCAGTAAACCCTCGTAAAAACTTGTTTGAACTTAAAATATTCAAATGAAGCGATTTGCAGAAAGAACATATCACGAAAATAGCATTAAATAAAATAATTTTATTAATTAACACAAACGCTGTTAAAGTTTCATTATTTTAAAAAACTTAGAGAAAAAGGATTTTGAAACAGCCAAAGAAAAAATTTGGCGACCTAGTAACCGCACAATTTGATTTTAGCGGCTTAATTAAGATTTTCTCGCATGTTTTAACATAGAAAAAAAATGATCCAAAAACATCAACTTTTTTGCCTAGTACTATTTCATATAAGAGCATTAGAAAAAACTACATATCTTCAGTTTAGAGATGGATTCGAATGCGATAGCAAAATAAACCGCAAAATTGAAAATTGAGCGTGCACGAATTTTAAGACTTTTCTTGAAAAAACTACGACCTGAAAAACACTAAAAGAGAGTCATATAATTCGCATCTCAGGTTGATTACATGAAAATTGGAAACAAAATTTTAGGACAGTTCATCAAGAGGCGAATGAAATTTTAAAAATAGACCTAATTGATAAGCATGGAATTTCAATCTCCTGCCATAGCAAGCTTGCAAATCGTCAAAAAATCATTCTCGCCTACTCGCAGAGTAAAGCGAGGCATTCTTTTCTGATGGATTTCAGGGTAACATTTTACACGCTATATGAACACACGGGCCTAACTATTTGAAATCCACATGAAAAAAATTATCTCCCTCTCTTCACTAAGCAGACAAATATTAAGGCTGCATTTCAAAAAGAGCAGCCCAATTTGAAGCCCTGCTTAAATCCCAGCGCAATATGGGACCAACCCCGAAAAAAAAGCTTTTTCCAACATTTAACAACTAGCTACTTTTTGGAAGTAGCCCAAAATAACAACTCAAATAACATGAGAATTGAAATAGCTTTGGAACAAGACAATTAAAAACTGCAAAAAAACATAATATTTCTTTAAAATATTAAAAAGAATAGCTTTATTAAAAGCAAACAAATGAAAAAATTAATAGACAATCAAATACAGGCTAAGCGGAGCTTCGCACCAATTTCGATACCACAAGTTGAAAACGATTTCGATAGCACTTCAAGTTGAAAACGAAATGAAACAAAAGCCACGAAGTCAAAAGAAATTGAAAAAATATAGAAATCACAAGTAAAATAAATTGGAATGATGTTCAAACCGAAGCGAAACACGTCCAAACTGCGCGAATCACAATCACTGGCTTTAAATAAGTATTCAGAAACATTTAGCGATAGGTAACTAATCCGTTGAGCCGAAAAAATATTTTTTGTCATGAAAAGTTCTAAAATTCTACAATTTACTGCCCCACTTCGGAAACATACAAGAGTATAAATAATACTTGTTCCCTTAAAAGACATAAAATATGGTCACCAAGAAAATAGAACAAAAGCCGAAACCTTTGTGACGAATAAAGCAACAAAAGATAAAAATTGCAAATTCAGAGTTGGTGAAAAAACTTAAAACAAAAGCGAAGCGGAGCTTCGCATCACTTGCGATACAACGATAGAGTACCATTGCAAGCTACTACATGGTCAGTGAGATGGAAATAACGAAGTGGAATAAAACTTGAAAAAAAACTGGAAATACGAAAACTTCAATCACAGAAAAACAGACGAGAAAGACAACCACCACAATCAGGCACGCTTTAAGTATTTTCAGAGAGTTCCCTAAGCCAACAACCCGAGGTTACACGCCAATCGATCCCAAAACAAAAAATGTCATAAGAAAAATTTTTGTCATAAAAAATTCAACATATTTTTGGAAATCCGAAAAACTCAATCTCAAAAAAGAGACAGAAACACAAACACTTGCAGTAAGCAAGTTTTTAGTATTTTCGAGCGTCCACTAAACCAACAACACGTGGTTAAAAACCAATCGATCACAAACAAAAGGAAATTCATGGAAAAATCAACATTTTTTTTGGAAATACGAAAAATTAACTCTCAAAAAACAGACGAGAAACACAACCAGTAGCATTAAGCAAGCTTTTAGTTTTTTCCGATCGCCCATTGAGCCAACAACATGTGGTTAGACCCAATTGATCCGAAAACAAAAATAGCAAAAAAAACCGTTGACATAAAAAATTCAATATAATTCTGGAAAAACGAAAAATTCGATCTCAAAAAAAACAACAGAAACGAAAAAACTAATAATAGCAAGCTTTTAGTAATTTTAGATCGTCCACTAAGCTAACAACACATGGTTAGACGCCAATCGATCAGAAACAAAAACGCCAAAGAAATTGTCATAAAAAATCAACTAGTTTTGGAAATACGATAAACTCAATCTTAGAAAAACAGACGAGAAACACAACGACTAGAAGACAGCAAGTTTTAGTATTTTCCAAGCGTCTACCAGGCCTAAAACACGTGGATAGACGCCAAATTGATCCGAGAACTAAAATACCAATAGAAATTGATGTCATAAAATATTCAACAAATTTTTGGAAATACGAAAAATTGAATCTCAAAAAAAACTGACATAAAACACAATCACTAGCAGTAAGCAAGCTTCAAGTAATTTCCGAATGTTCACTAAGCCAACAACTCAAGGTTAGACCCAAGTGATCCGGAAACAAAAATATCAACAGAAATGGTTGTCATAAAACATTGAACATTTTTTCGGAAATTCGAAAAATTTCAGAAAAACTGACGAAAAACACAAAAAAGCGTCCAGCAACATTTTAGTAGTTTTCGAGGGTCCACTAAGCCAAAAACATGTGGTTAGACGCCAATTGATCCGAAAAAAAATACCAAGGAAATAATCATAAATCAACAATTTTTTTTGGAAATACGAAAAAATGTATCTCAGAGAAACACAGCAAACAGCAGAGGTAAATCAAAACACTAAAATCAACTATAATGTAAGAAAAAATTAAATAAGCGATTCAGTTGGATGGTAAAAACAAAGCGGAAACTGAGCCAACAAAAAGTAAACCGAAAGCGACGAAGTCGAAAATTCAAAAAATAACACCGAAGAAATGGCATTAAAAAAATTTGAACTGACAATTTATTGGAAAAACACTAATAACGATGCACAGTGAGAGTAATAGACCAATTAGCGCAAATATACTGACATACTGCATGCATGTCGTATACTGCATTGGTAATTAGTCTTACTTAACTAGTTTCTGAGTTTTTATTGGCGACTTTTAAAGCAACTAGCTATCCTAGTTTGTTTGGAAATTATGACACGGTCACGAACAGTTTTTCGATTACAGCTGATACTGACCTATGAGTCGTTTGCACTTATCTCCAGAGGTTGTAACATCCAGAGGATATTTAGCTGTAGGAGCTGTCTGCATAATGTCAAGGAAGTTCACCATGCTGAGAAAGCATGCCTTTTCCGCCTTTATGTAAATGCCTCCACGCGTGATTTCTGCAAATATTAGCGATGAACTACTCCATTCGGACAGCATTTGTGATGTGACTACAACCACCAAATTTAATCGGCCTTCCAATATGCCTGAACGGATCCTTTCATTTATTACTCCCTCTACAACTAAATGCATAGAGTTTCTAGGTACAACAATTGAACATTGTTAATAGTTGACGGATATTTTGATTGGGTTGGATATTCGATACCAGACACCATTTGGTTATTTTATGCCTTTTCTACTAAAAAAAATTTACTCGCAATTTACCGCGAAACATACCTTTGAGTTTTGGGAGACGCACAGATTGTAAGCCTTTTACGTTAAGCCTGCAATATAATGTGTTCGCATTTTCAATTTATAAATTTTTTAATTTTTAATAAATATTTCCTTGAATAAATAATTTCCAAATGGGCAAACTAACAAGAGTTAAAATTATTTTTTCAACAAGGCCATGTTTTTATTTTTACGAGAATCTGAAGGAACATGCAAAAAAAGCTAACACAAAATTTCATTTGTATTGAAAAACGCCAGTTAAATGCGAACATATGGCCGGCGTCGTCCTGTATATACAGGGAGCATTGAGAATTAGAATGCTGACAATGAACAAGCTCATTGCCTCTCACGATTACCAAATTTGGCAAAAATATTTCCTTCAATTCTACGTTGTAAATCAGAAGATATCCCGAGATCTCCCTAACTTCGCTCAAGAAGTCAAAATCGAAAGCTTCCCCCTCTTCTTCGACGATGTTGGCTATTTCTAAATTTCCGTAGATGCGTGTACATTTCTGTCCGCCTTTCCAATATTTCATCTGCAGTTTTAAATATTCGTTCTTCTTCGAATCGTCTTCGGTTTCGTAACCCCCAGACGCAGAACTGAACTTGTTTGAGGTTCCAGGGCATTCTGAAACCAAAATTAAATTACAGAATACCGGAGAAAAAATTCAGCAATTGATACGTCATAAGTTTTTGCTACCAGAAGAGAAAAGAGCCGTGACATTTGATTTAATGCACTTTTGTTTAACTTTTCTTCAGAAAAAAGTGACCTTTTTGAAGCAACGCTTAGCCTTTTGTACAATTCTTTTAGACCACACTCGTAGAAAGGCGATGAATTATGGCGTAGATGAAATTTTACAACCGATTTTTAACTAGCCGGAGGTCAAATGAGGTAAAATTTTAAAAGCCTGACAAATGATTTCGATTAACGTTTTTATTTGATTAAAGCCAAAAAAAACTTTTAGGCGCAAAAAAAAGGAAAAAAAACTATTTCAGGGCTAGTAGACTTTGCAATTACAGAAGAACATCAACAACACTTCCATTTATAATGAAAATTGCCTACATAACAAAACCCTGATGCGGCATCTGAGCCGACAAAAGATAAGTACACAAACGAAAGTCCAACAATTCAACTTTTCAGCAAAAATATTTGGTACATACTGAAAAAAAATTTACCTCTAGACCAAGTAAAAACAGGCCTGGAAATTGCTATGTTTTTATAATCAATCATTTTCAATTTCATGCAGATTTGTAAGAGTAGTTTACAGGAAAGTTCTAGTTCACAATTACAAGCAACGTTCTTTCGCAAGTGTAATCAAAGAAACGAACTTTGACGACAAAACTTTTTACGAACTAAAAAAAATCAGCTAACTAATAAAAAATCAGACAAAAAATATCAAAAAACGCCAAAATGTTCTTTCAATAATCTCAATTAGATTAAGTTCAATGTGATGAAAAAATTCATTTTAAACTATTGCTAGTATCTAATTATTATCATAACTTACACAGCAACAATCGAGCAGACAACAGTTAGCCTTTCTTCCTTATACTGTAAGCATTTCATACCGAATAACAAACTTAAAAATTATAACATTGTCACCGTCCAAGCTAAAAAGAAAAACACATTTTCAGATTTTTTGCTTATCTAAAAAAACAATAGAAACTATGAAATGAAAAAATTCACACAGCCACCCACTGGCATAAAAACATACCACGATCGTTGACACTTAGTCTCGTGTTCTGTCGCCCAGTTCAAAAACTTCGAGCGAGAACTAGTTTTACAGTAGTAATAATACTGTAGTGTTCACTTTAGTAATAAGTTTTAAAAAGACCTACACGTTTGCTTCACTCGATGGAAATTAGCATAAACTCTCGACATTGTGAGAACTTTTTCAATTTTTTTTATGTCATTCGAATCACGACTTAAAGGGATTTGGTAAGATATATCACTCAAAATAGTCCGATGATTATCTCTCGTACCTAATTATGCGTGGAAAATGACACTAAGAAGAAGGATAGCCGGTTACTGTGCAAGTAGCACAGAATTTTCCGACAAGTCTTAAAAAATAGAACAAAATTATTTTTACAATTAGTTTCGTTTTTTGGCTTGGTGCGATAAAGGAATCTGAGCAAAAAAAAAAAGAGCCTAGGCATTGGCATTTTCTTCAGTCATGTAAAATATGCAAATTGAAAAACAATTTTTCAAGACAAATAATGAGAAAAACAAAAAATCAATAAACGTTCCCAAAATATTTTGAAGTTTTTTACGCTTAAGATGAAGCAAAAAACTGCAAAATTAACTTCATTTGAGTGAAACTAAATTTTCAAGACTTAAATTAAGCATAAATAAGCTGATGTAAGCCAGCTCACTCGCTCAAAATTAGATGAAAAATCAAAAATTTCAAACCGGTTTTTCTTGACACCGGGAAAACTTTTCAGAAACTTTTAAATGTGGTTTAAATCCCGACTGAAAAGGCTTGACTATAAACTATCACTCAACCCAGTCCGATCATTATTTGTGGTACCTTATTTTGCAGGAAAACGAAAGAAAAAAACTAAAACACAACCGAATACAAAGTTGGTGGTTGGAACAAAAAATACAAGAAGACCAATTTCCTGTCCATTTTCAATGGTCGGAAAAATGAGAGCTCAAAAGTAAATTGTATGGTTATTTATTTTCAAACTTTTTCATTTTTTTCAAATCCCGTTCTAACATCTTCATTTACATAACACTGCATAACTCAACTAGTCATTTTCAAAATTACAGTTCTGTGAAACAAAAAATATAACCCATACACTTGAGACAAAATGGAGCTCTTGTTTCAACAAAAAACTGAATACAATGGGCTGAAAACTACTTTAATTGCTTTTGATGATTGACATTTTTTTTAGATAAAACCATTTGGGAAACACTGATTAATTATTTTTTTTGTGAATTCCTGTTTAAGTTTGAATAACTACATTCGCTTTGGAGTCCAATGACATTACGCCAAAAACATTTGGGTTATCAATGAGCGTAATTTTACATTCCTTTGCAAAATGACTTTGAAATGTGAGTCTAAAAATTATAACATTCAACGACCAAACTAAAACAAAAAAAAACATTTTATTTTCAATGTGTGTGTTCTCCACCAAAAAAAAACCAATATGAAAGAAAAAAAGACAGTCAGTTACCATGCAAATAGCACAGAATGTTCCAACCATAGTCTTTAAAAACTATTAAAAAGTTTTTTTTTTCAAATTAGTGTCGGTTATCTTCTGCGTGGCGTGATAAAAGGATTTAAACCATAAACTACAAATTAGGCATATTTGACAGTCATAGTAAAACAGGCAAACTGGGAACATTTTTGAAGAAAAATGGCTAAACAAAAAAATTACTAAAAATTTTTTTAAAATTGCAAGTTTTTGATTTCCAGAATGGCGTTAAAAAATCTCGAACAGCTAACTTTATTTGAGCAAAACTAAATGCCAGCATAAATAAGCTATTGTAAGCGGCCTAAATTAAGCATAAATAAGCGTGCTCGCCCGCTTTACTCTCTCGAATTTAGACGAAAAATCAAAAATTTCAAACCGATTTTTCTCGACACTTGAATTTTTTTGGAATTTTTTTTTAGAATTGTTCGAAAAGCGTCTGAAAGACCTTTAATATGATATATTATTCGACCCATTCCGATGATTATTTGTGGTAGCAGATTTTGCGTGGAAGGCAAAAAACCTTAACACCCGAATACAAAGTTCCTCTCCATTTTCAATGGACGGAATAATAATCAAAGAGCAACCAACTGGTATGAAACCATAGCAATTTCTTTGACACTTACTCTCGTTTTCTGTAGCCGAATTCAAAAAATAATTAGTCCGAAGACTAGAAAACGAAGTTTAAGACGAAATTTTTCAGACATTAGCATGAACTGAGTAGTGGTGACCATCAGGAAAATATGTTTAGTATGAATCGAATTTCATCTACCTGATCTTGGTATACTATCCCACAAAATATATCACCTAAGATAACAACTTACATATCATCTTATTTAGAACCTTTCAATAGAAGTGCTTCAGTTTTTTTTGCAAAAATCAACATACAAAACGAAACTCTTCCTCCCCATGTTCAAAACGAAAAGTTCTCTCCACATTCGGTAGTAGGAACAAATTTTTTTTATGCAAGAAAATCAGTCTAAAACATTTTACCCTATTACCGAGGTTTTTCAGCCCCGTAATATGCAGAAAAAAACTAACCGCGTGAAGTAATTGGCGTAAGAGATGAGACAAAAAATGTAACACAGCTGATTAGGGATATTAAATTCATTTTCAAAAAGTAACAATGGATTACTTAATATTTAAGTCTTCCAACAAAATTTCGATATCTAACATATCTGGATTCCAAGAAGCTATTGCTAATTAAAAGGTTCAACCAGCTGGTAATTAGTGACCCTCAATAAGACTTTTGACGAAGAATTGCAGCTAAGTTTTGGTAACACAGTTACACAGACAAGGTATGGAACAGTTATGAGAACAGAAGTCCAATTCTCTTTTCTTTTATAAATCTCAACCGTGACAATAAGTAGGATGTCGGAGAGACTATTAAGCTTAGTCAAATAAAGTTTGAAGAGCTGGGTAGGAAGATCAATTTTAATATATACAAACGACACTACAATTCAAATTGAGAGACTCAAATGCTCTCGATGGTAAAAATAGAAGATTGAAAGGTAATGTACAAATTGAAGAGTTGAATTTGATAAACGGATTTAATTATAAATTCAACTGGATCTGTGCTAAACACATTCCCTAATGGCGTTTTAGAAGATGTTCTAGAAGACTTATTTGTTATACAACCATCTCCAAGAAGCTTGGTAGAAATCGAATGTGACCTTAAGTTAACGCAGTATCAAGATTTGCAACGGAACGCGAGGCAATGCTAAGAGCTATGCTCAAGTGGCTACAAAAAAATTAAAGCTTTTCAAATAATAATTTCAGGCAAAACTTGACGAAATAACAATACGCAATTTTTATTGAAGTTTTTTTGCAATCTTCGGGAAAAATCAACGATTAATTTAGATTCAGAGGTAAAATAGTTACAGTAAACGTAAGAAATGAAGTAGCTAGCGGTTTTATAAAATTAAGAGACCGTTAGATAATGTTATTACAGTCGTTAATTAATTGTTAACGGAGGTGTTTTTAATAATCTATGAGCAATATCCTCAATAGCTTAAACGGACCACAGTCTAAGTAGTTTTCGTTTTAACTTTCGAGACTCATTTGTATCTTCGCAGCAGCAAATTAACAAAACGCTCAAAGCAGTCTGAGGTATAGAAAATCAAAAATACTGGTCCAATAATGGTTTGTAAGTTTTGCACGCCGATTAAGCAAAACCAAATTGATTATAGTTTGGTCTGTACAATCGTGCCTGCTGCTACTCGGTTACTTTTTGTTTTGTTGGTTCATTTTTCGGCAACTGAGATTCTCGCATATAACATACAGCTTAATATTAAATATACTTCAGCCTGGCTAAGTGCTCTCGAGTTTGAGATTGCGTTGAAAAAGAACCTCTCCGTGCAAATGTGGTGACCGTAAGACTGATTAAAGAAAATTTTTATTTGAGAACGATTTGCTGAAACTAGCTTTGTTCAAACATGCATTAGTTTTTCTCTTTGAACGCTTGGAGTCACACTAGAAAAAGGGACAGTATTCTGTCTCACGCCCGATAATCAAGTAAACTATAGATTAGATGAGATGAACTACTAAACTGCCAGTACAACTTCAGCACTAATTCTTTTACAAAATGAAGAGACAAGCTTTACTGAAATTACTGTTTGCTAATAGAAAAAATGATAGAAATTGAGATTGAGTAATCAAGAAGCTAAATATTTGTTAAAATCTTTGGTAAACGCCCATCGCGGTAAGTTAAGGGCAAATAAACATGTCCACTCTTTGTAATGTGTGCTGGACTTGTGATGATATTTATGTCTGGTAATTTTGCAAACATTTCAATAATTGCAAAATAAATCTCAAAAAACGATAAGAATCTGCAGATACAAATGACATTCCAGTTCAGTTGTCTACCACATGTTAAGATGTCTGGAGATCCTCAGAAAGCTATTAAATTGCAGAGAAACTAAATCGCTCAACAATAACTCCACAAGCCTATTCCGAACTGTATTTAGGTTGCGATTGTTGCTGCTTCAATAAGCAGGCACTGGATTATTGAACTAACCGAGGTTTGATAAATTTAATCGTCATCCTTGGTTTCAAAATACATTACCTCAAACCATTCCTAATATCTGAAAATACAGATGTAAAATATTAGCCTGTTCACGAGATAAAAAGTCTCCCAACATAAAATAAATTTCAAAATAGTTGAGACATTACAAGTATTTATTAACTACATGTTATGTATTTAAAAATGAATTTATGAGGTCAAATAGTTTTTAGTCATTAAAGAAATATGTAGCTTTTTTCCTCATCACTCCAGGATAAAAAGATGAAAAGACACGTTAAATCATTTAAAAGCTTATACTCGTAGTCTAAACATGCGCACATATAAGATGCAAGTGCAAATATTGAGACAATTTGTAACTCCTTTTAGTAAAAAATATGAGACGAGAAAATGAGAAAAAAAGACATTTGACACAGAATTGGAGAAAAAAGGGACGGCCTTGCGATCGTAATGTAAGCTTATAATTGTCTGTTCGTTTTACGTGTCCTACTAACGAGAGCAGTTCAACTCAGTAATCAGCTGACTGATTGGCGAACAAAAATTTAATCTAATCTAATCGGAGCAGCATTTCTTTTATTCCCAGATAGAGGCCAAAATATTCCAAATATCAGGGAACAATCACTCCCCTCTTTTCAAAGGAGTCCCAGAAGCGAATACTCGTGCGGTTATTTGACAGTCACGGATGCTTGCACTAGCCAGTTGAAAATAATAGACTCGTTATAGTTACGGAATTTAATATAACAGTCAAAGCCGTCTGAAATGCATCTTACAAATAATTGAAAAACATCTCTACTGCTACATGGAAACTCCATTCTACAGGATGCTTTCCTTTTTTAAAAAAAGAACACGCGAACAAAAATCACAAAAACTCAGTTTTATAGGAGACTGAATATATAGTGAATCCCAGGTGACTTTATACACATTTATAACCTACAGCGGTCTGATTTTAAAAATTTAGTAATTAACCTCAAATTTTTTTGATACATCTAGATCTTTTTTTCTACGCTCAAACAATTAATCAAAAATGGGGCTCGAAAAGCAATTTATTGGCCTAATTTACTTTTTATCTTTTATGGTAAGCTCATTTCATGCACCCTAAGAACTAATTAAATTCATACATTCTTATCGATGCATTATCTTATGGAATATGTGATCTCCATCTTAAGACCCGTGAAATCTTTCGTCATGTGAATTCTTGAGCAATAATGGATCATATGTGACAAACCCTTTTAGCTGCTTACCGCTACAATCGACAAGGAAAACTCTGAAAATCACCAAAACTTGAAAACCCTCAAAAATTAACAATCAGGAGCTGATCTAGGATTTTTTCGAGGGGGTCGGATTTCCAAAAAAATTTGTCAACATTTTTTAAGGTCGACCAAATCTTCCGCGCCGCACGCAAATTTTTGAAATAAAAACAGCCAATAAAAGCTTAGACCAAGAAATTTCGACCACAAAAATTTTAGGGTCAGTCTGTCAAAAATCTCAATATAGTGCAGGGGGCCCTTTCGGTCGACAGGGGGTCGAATCCCTGAGGAGAGAGCGTCCGACACCCCCCCCCCCTCAAAAATCCGCTACTGATCACAATTCAACTCAGCAAATCAAATACCATCGCAAATACTAATCAGCATTTTTACAAATTATTTGTTCAGTTCTAATTATGTTTGATTCGCCTGATACACAAAAGCATAAGTTTTGGCGCCCATCCGTTAATCAAAACGGGTGTGTGGAAACAATGCCACGGATGGACCTTTTGGGCGATAAATCGGTCGAATTGTTGAGGAACGAAACCCGACTCAGCTTATAGAAAGCGCTTTATTTTATTCGAGTGCCACTTATGATTTATGATGACAATCAAGTTTTCATATAATAACTCTGAGGGAAAATCGCAGCATGCATGAAACTATTTGCATATAAAATCAAACGTTGTCAGACCCACTGGACATTCTCGAAAAAGTGAAACAATATTAACCTGGTCAATGCAAATTTAATAATTTCTTTCAAGATTACAATAATATTATCTAACTTCAACCAAAAGAACTCGTCTAACATATCTTTCTCTCTTCTGCTTGTTGCATGAAGTTATGATTTGTCATTCGTTTTTAATATAGTAAATAAACATGATAACTATAGTCTGAGACAAGAAACTTGGGCCTCCGTGACATAAAAACAAGTTATTTTCTGCTAAGCCCCTTCACTATACTATGCAGGGTTAGTAACAGGAAAGAGCCATAAACCATAATCTGGGTCTAAATTCAGCGCAAGTTGCAAATTCAAAGCTGCTTATTCCCTCCCGTATTTTGTTTAGACCATTGCCAGTAGCCTGGTAAAACGTCAATACCTAGCCGGCCCTATTCGCAGGGTTAAATTCCAGCGTTAGTGAAGCGATCAAATGGGCGAATTTATTTTAAATTCAATAAGTTTCTCTCTTATTGATGCCACGATTTGAACATATCATCAAAGAAATAACATTCAGCAAAAAGAGCAGCCCATTAAACTGCAAATAGCAGCAAACTTTTCGACCGCTAAATATCTGGTAAACATATTTTTTCATGTTCGTCGTTTGGGGGCAAAAAAAGTTTCTACGTTGCGCTTCATTAAAAGCTGACTGATTAACTATTGCAAATTACGCGAAGAGAGGCAATGAGATTGAATAGACCAATTTACTTTTTCCATTTTACAAAATTTTGTTTTCTACAAGCGAATCAAAACAGCTACTAATTTGAGAACCTGAAACTTACGTTCGTAAAAAGCAATCACTTGCACATAGATATTCTGCATCTTCTGTGAAACAAAAGAAAAATCACGGGCCGGTTAATTGAAATTCACAGAAAAATTATCTTAATTGAGCTGTTTCGACCATTTAAAAAAACACCTGAAAAAACAGTTCTTTAGAAAGCTTGATTTCTATCATAAAAGGCACTTTTTTTCAAAAAAAATTTGAATACATTTTGAAATTTTTGTGCCTTTTTTTGCTTCAGCTATACGCAGAATAGTTTTCGATGATTTTAAAATTCATTTTTTGGAGTGGGAATAAAGTTTGCCCCGCATAGATTCGAACACTACCGCTGGTTTCTAAGAACGAGTTTCACACATGCTTCTATACTAAGGACCAGGCAGTATTGAATGCGCTTTTATAAATAAATCGTAAGAAGTCATAAATCATGCTGTTTGCAATGACTACGCTTGTATGACAACACAATAAAACAACCTTTTTGAAACAAGTCTCATTTTATTTTAGGCTTTTATTTTAGTTGACCCTCTGGGTTGGGTAGCATTGACCTCAAAATTGCTCTGCCTTCTTCCTGATTATAAAGCCAACGCATGGGCGAAGCTCAGCATCACATCACTTGCGATTAAAAAAGTACAGAGTTAAAATGGCATGACGCTCCAGAATTAGCAAAGAGGACTTCGAACGATGTTGCCTTGATCTAAAACGAGAAAAAAAGTTTTAAAAAAATTTATTGAAGTGTTTTCAAGATATCTCAATGGCGTCGAATTTAAGCAATCAAAATTTGGCGCCAGGGTCTTAACGATTTTATATTAAAAAAAAACAGATCTGAAAATTGTTGTAAACAATATATTTGTTTCAAAAGCCGATGGAATTGAAGCCGCCAGCCAATGAGCTGAAGCCCAATCGAAATATATCTGCAAAATAAAATTGATGAAAAAACATGTACTGCCTATAAAGTATCCACGAGTGCCATATATGTGTTGAAGGAACGGTGGAATACGCATTTCGGAAAAAACGAGAGCTTGATTGACAACAATACAGCCGAAACACCATCAGGGAAAAAGTGATAACATCGCAACTCTTTAATTTTATAGGCAAATAGATCTAAAATTATACATGCAACTAGAAAATTTGTATTTTGAAAAGAACAAACTCAGAAAATTAGCATCGGATGAAAATTAATCAAGCAGTTACAAAGCCGAAAAAAGTTCAAGTTCCTCTCTCTCTCTCTCTCTCTCAAGACACACACACACGCACACAGAAAACGTTTCGATCATCAAACGGGGCAAAATGAGGCCACTAAGCCAATATATAATAAGCCAAAACCAATGAAGCCGAAAAAGTGAAAATTAAAATTTTAGATTAAATTGAAAAAGTTAAAACCAACAAAAACAAGTTCCGAAAAGAGCGAATGTGTAAAATACTACCAAACGCAAAACAAGCCTTATATTTACAACCGAGAGGACTAAGGTTTGCAACAAGGACATAGATGTGAAAAAGTCTAGGAGTGAGTCTTGAGAACCAAGTTATTTACGGGCAAATTTCTAGTATCCGATCGGAATACCCTTGCGTGGGAAAACAGCGTTATTAAGGGAAAACAGAAAAAAAAACAAAAAAAAACGAATGATATACTGAAATCGGAATTGGTCAATTTACAACTAACACGAAATACAAACTTCGAAAAGAACGGGCATTTAAAATGCGAAATTGCTCAAAAATGTCTGTTCCTTGACGAATTAACAGATGGAGATGACCATCATTTTCAGTCGTCTTGTTAAAACATCACGAGAAAAAGTCTACAACCCGATTGCAACAGCCTTGCTTATCTCACAGGTAACTAAGTAAACCATGTAACGAAACATTTGAACAAAGGATTTGCCAAATATCCATGAAAATGGCCAGGAAATAAAAAAGAAAAGTTTGAAATATGTCAAAACTCACTAGAGAAAATCCTTTTGAGTATAATCAAGCAAAATCAATAAAATTAGGGAAAAGCGCAAAAACTAGACCAGATACACAAAAACAATAATTCACAAATAATTGAAAAACAAAACAAATTGAAAACAAAAATTGAAAAAAAAAAAACGATTAATTTTTCCAACTATCCATTGGTAAAAAAAATTTTGGTCTGAAAACAGAAAGAAGAAAGAGAAAAACAAATAGCACAGCATAAGTTGCTTGGAAATAACGCTCACATGATAACTGTCGAAAATAAACAGAAAATTATGTTATCGCCAATTTTGAACGATTTAGGATTAAAATGTTGAAACATTTAGATTTCGGGGGTTCCGAACCCCAAAACTCTAATTATGATCAAAATGTTGAATTGATTTAGATTTTGGGGATCAAAGCCCCAAAAAATCACAGAACACTTTAAATAACCCCAATCAACCTGAAGTATTATCGTCATAACTTCGTAG